GAGCTGTCTAGTGAGAACTTACTTTTTACAACATTCCCAACAATGACTCCCCTATCAGTTATATGTTGTGCAAATAATTTCTCCCATGGAATTACTTTTAACATTTCTTTGGTGGTGAGTGAGTAGAAGCTAAGTCACTTGGACTGGTGAAGATATTAGATTTAAATATGCAAATATCTACATATTTACTTACATGCAAATGGCTGTATTTGCAAGCCCTTGATAGTGTGATCAAGGCACTTCAGACACAGCTGGGGGCTCCTGTGAAGAGTAAGGCACTCTGGGCTGAGGGTTGGCTCAAGGGAGATAAGAATCGGGAGTGGAAGATAGGTGTCTGTGGAGTTTTGGCAGAATAAGGAGGGGTCTGCAGCTACTGCTAAGCCAATAAAGGGGGAAGGGTCTTTTATGTAGATTCTAGGCTCACATTCCAAAGGGTGACTCATCGCTGTGTCCCCCGGTGCAAGGCCCAGTTCCTCCCACCTGTATCTAAGGGATGCTAGGCCCACTTGACTATCACTTTGTTATCCCCTTCAGCTATTCCCATATCAAGCTTGGATGCAAGGCTCAATTCTTTCCTTGTCAGTAAATCTTTGGTCACTCCCAACAGTTTTTACTCCATAGGCTCAGAAAAATCTCAAAAATTCCCCGGAAAAAAAAAAAAACATGGAATGTTGCTGGCAGAAATCACAGGTTTCAGTTGTTATCAAACCTAAGACTTTGGAAATAGGATGAAAAAGTTTTATTAATCAAAAGAGTTACATGTTTTTCAGTGTTTAAGCATTTCCACTAGTTAGAAGTCAACCCTGGGTATCCTATACAGCCGACAAAAGTAAAAACAGTTAACTTTCAAGCAAAAGCAGTCATCTTGTTGTTGGCCACTAAGCTTTCCATCTTTGGGTTTCCTGGAACAGAACTTGAAAAAGCAAAATCAAAAGTCAGCAGTTAACTTTCAGTTAAAAGGAGTCATCTGCTTACTTCTGTTGTCCACTTTAGCACAGAAGCTGAAAAAGCAAATTCAACATACAAGTTATTGATTGTAACTCCCCACACAAGGGAGAAAACACAACAACACAGGTATGAAAACCTGGTATAATTACGCCATACACTATAAAGAGGCACTTTCCACAACAGACCTTCCTCAGTAGGAAACAGAAACTTAGAATCTTGTCTTACACCAGTAATCAAACAGATCCAGAATTCAAATGGCAAATATGCCCCAAACAAATTGTGTAGACAAAATTCACAGCAGCAAACCCTTTAGACTCAATATCTTTTCTAACTTTTCTGATCTAGACTTTGCAAAAATTCAAGCTATCTCCAAGAATCCATTTACCAGTTACTTATGAAGGCTTAGTCTTTCTTTGCATCCAAGCATATATTTATTTGCTAACTTAAACACCACTGCTCCATTATTGGTTAAGGCAGAGATCAGGGAGTAGTCAAAGTCAAAGCAAACTACCTTTGGAAGACCCATCATTGCCTTTAGAAATGCTAACAAGATCTGCAAAACAGCAGAGATCACAAAAAAAGTCCCAAGTCCTAGCAACTTAACTTTAGTTAACAAAGGAAGTGGAAAATCTTAGGAGGAGCCCAAAAGAACAAAAACTTCCAAGTTTCAGAAAAGCCAGCCAAGGGCCTCAGACGCCATCTTTGATCTGTGCACATGGTCCAAACTATTCTCTTTTGAGTAAAACTGCTACACAATTTCCAGAAAATCAAGTCTATTAGCAAGTGACCACAGCAAAATTGTACACATACACATAGAATTTTCACAAGGTCAAGCCAGTTTTTAACAACAAATCTGCATCAGGAAAAAAAACTAGAAACAAAAACCACGTTTGCGTTTAAGGTAGTCAGTGCCATGAAGAAGCCAACTTCCCCCATGGGGCTGACTAACCACGGATGGCTCGAATCCTACAGCGTTGGGCGCCAAATCTGTTATAGAACATCAAATCTGTTACAGGACAGGGAGAGAGGGGCACCCCTGAGCCCCTCAACCTGCCTGCTCTAAGTGGGCTCTGCCATCCGCTGTATCAAGACAAAACATATAAAACTTTAATGAAAAGGAACTTTAATACAGTGAGTATACAATACGGAACGTAAAGAATATAACTTCTAAATCAAACACCTGAAGTGACCCATCCCCACGTGGGCAAAAGTCCACACAAAAGGGATCGGCCCAAAGCAAGGCCTGAAAGCTGCCACGAGACTAAAGCACCTTCTGGCCGGGACCCATAGAAAAGGGTCAGAAATGGCCAGACAAGTCTGGGAGGAAAAAAGCAAAATCAAAATCACTATAAACACGGCCAGAGTCACCTCCCTGCAGGTCTCTCACCCACATCTGCCTTAGCCAGTCCAGGGCCAGTTAACAAGCCCCGTTTCTCCATCACATGCTCGCTGCTCCATGTGGCTTCCTCACATCTCCCTTCTGGCTCTCCATCCTGCTTCCTTCTTCTTCTCCTCCAGATTCCTTCTCTCTCCTTTTTTCACTCCTCAGCTCCACCCTCCTTCTGGGTGGGGCAGGGAACCTGGAACATCCCCCTTTCCCAGGGATCACCCAGTTACAAGTATACAATACCGAAGACAAAGAATGTAATATCTAAATCAAACACCCGAAGTGACCCATCCCCTCGTGGGCAAAAGTCAACCCAAAAGGGATTGGCCCAGAG